TGTTAATGAATATTTAATCAACAACCTTTAAAAAAGAATCTTCAACTGCTTTTGAACTCAAAATACTCTCCATACTTATACCTTATCCTTTGAAATTTTATATTGTATTACAAGGAAACAATTTTTTGCTTGATTTAAATTTTGTGACATTGTTTCACAAGATTACATTTCCCCAGCACAAAATGAGTCATTTAATCTCGAGCTTATTACAAAGGAAACTTGAACAACAGTCTGTTATGAATTTTTTTAAAGTTTTTTACAACAACCGCAACAAAGAACTTGTAGCAAGCTGTATAAAGATGCAAAAAACTAATTTAGAAAATCGATATTTTATAGACGACTCAGTTTTATGTCAAGTTTATTGACTGATAGAATTTTCTTTAAAGATTATACATCTTCATTTTGAGCTAACGTAAAAATCTGTTGGCAATTTTAAAGACTGGCAAGACTTAAAATCCTCGCAAAATTAATTCAAAGGAACAGAAGTCATTAAAATCCAAACAAAAAATTTATTAATGCATCAACAAAACGAACAACTTGATTTGGCAGCATATAGTATGCTGATGTCATCGACAGCACCTCTATAAACTCATCACAGACATGATTATCAATACAAGTCTGGAATTGCTGTAATAAAGAACGATAGAATCTACAAGTGTTCCATAAAATGATCTCATTTTAATAAAAATGATACACAAATGCTCACTTTTGATGAGCAAACAAGATGAAAACGTTAAATATTTGTTAATTTATTATTAACTTGTGTGAATTTTCTCGGGAACTGATGTTGATATTGAGTAATGTTTATTGCTTAGTGAGAAGTTTTAAAAGAGAATTTCAAAGAGTTTTTTAAAAGTTATTTTTGCAACTTTCTGGTAGGAAGAAGGGAGATAAAGAAGACTGTTAAAAGTAAAACTTCTAGGAAATGTGACGCTATAATTCCAGCTTCTTCTGTCGGAGTTTTTACTAGAGAAGTTTACCCTATTGTGATCTACCAAATGATGTATCTAGTGATTCAATACACCAAGTGTAATATGACTTACAAGTGTCTTTTCATCATTACGAAATATTTGTGTTTCCAAAGCTTGAAAAATAACGACAAATAAAATTTATTTCTGAAAATTAAAAAAATTTAAAAAGCAGTTAAAAACTACAATTTCAGCTTCTTCTTTATTTAAATTATTTTTTAAAAAAGTGAAGAAAAGAGAATAAAAAAAAATCATATTTTATTTCCTCTTGAAAGCGAGAAAAGAAAAATTAGCATTTGAATATTTTTTACAAGTAGAGAAGGAAATGGCAAAGAAGATCATAAAAATTTTATTTCTTGCTGTTTATAGAATTAAAATGAATTTGAAGAGAAAGAGGAAGATAATGTTTTTACAATTGCAAGTAAGAGCAGAAGGAAGTTTGTAGGGAAACGAGCAATTTATTTAAATGTTGCAGTTAATGAATTTTTGTCTAATTTGCTGCGGATGTGTGCTTAAAAATCAGGAATTTTTAAGAATGTCGTTATCCTATTGTTTTATGGGGAAATCTTAAGCAGACGTTGATTAGTGAGTCATAATTTAAGTAACAAAAATAGTTTCCGGTCACACAGTCTCTTAAGAAACAGTCAATCTGATGAACTAAAGCAAACTAGTTTCTATAAATTTTCTCCAACATTGTTTAGAATTTCTGAGTTTGCTAAACATTCCTGCAATGTTTTCTTCATGATATTTTATTCAATTCTATCTGCACAAACACTAAGCACAACAGTCATATAACAATAAAAGTCCATTTATGAATTCTTTTCTGTTCGTTTTTTGTTTCTTTCTTTTTTTAAATACAGCAATTGTTCCTCATCATAAAAGATGAATATTATTAATATTATTATTGCTGATATTATTTTTATTATTATTTATTTGTCGACGTTACCGTCCAGAAGAATTAGTATTTATACATGTTTTACTTTTTACATTGATTAGTGATACATTTCATATCACTATGGGTGACGTAGAATCAAGCTTCTAATCTTCAAATCTAGGTTTCAAATAAACTAAGGCTCTCGTTTCAATCTTCTGTGGGCGTGACGTGATACATTTCAGGTCCGTTCTGACAATATTCCATTATAAGGTAATCTTGTAGCTCTCGTTCCTATTTCTCCCGCTACACTTCAAGTTCCTGATCCGTTCCTTAATCCAACGTTGCCCAAAATGCCCAATTATGGCTTGACTCGTACATTAAGCAGTCGAAGTATCTAAACTTCTGAAAAAGAACAAATTTGGAAATGGCTGGATTCGAACCGACGACCTTCGAGTTACCATACCAAATTTGAGCCAAGCGCCTTACCTATTCGACCAGCAAGGTACTTAACTGCTTATCTTCATCTTTATTACGATTTAAGTAATGCAAAAAAAAGTTTTTTTTTTGTCTCATTCACTCTGACTTTATCTTTTGTGCCGGAGAGAACAAGACACTCACACACTTGAACTTAAGTGTTCATGACATTCGAATTTCTTGGCTTTATCTCTCGCTCTTTCATCCAAAAGCGATGTTTAAAAGAACAAAAAAAAATTAAAAATTTAAGCACATTTTTCGATGAAACAGAAAAGCTCGTACATTGTATAAATCATTCTCTTGATTGCGATATGATATCGTGTATGAAAAGGCATACACGAATTTTCTGTTAGCATGAAGATTATAAAGCCTTGTGATTTTTTTGTAATGCATAATATGCTGATGAAGATATTAAAATATTTAGACCCTATTATTCTGTTCTAGGGCTCAATAAAATGCGTCACATTTAAGATCATCAAAAATCTTCATACTCACTTTAGGCCGCTACTGCCATTTTTTATCTCACCAATCTTTTCATTCTGCAAACATTTTCACTTTCTTCCTATTATTTTTTGCAGCTCGTGAGATGCGTGTAGAATAATTTCGAATCATGATACTAATGAATGGTCGTTTAAACCATTTTTTTCGGTCTTGTGCAGAAACAACATTTGCTTTATTATCATTTAAGTGAGATCATTCATAGCGCAAATAAAAGATGGGATTGCTCATAAATCTGCACATGTTGGAATATAAAGAAAAGTGTTCAGAAATATTAAAGAAATTTCCGGCATCATTTTTCTATGCTGTTTTTACTGTATTAGCTGTAAAATGTCGATTTTTCTCGCAAGTACTCATTTGCAGACATATATGCTCACATATACACATACTTTCATGAATTATGATATCATCGACAAACGCATGCTGTTGTTGATGGATATAAACAGTAAAAAGGAGAGTGAGAAAATAACTTTTAGTATTATGACGAAAAAATGCTGAATGAAGTTGAAGACTATGAAAATTGAGCTCTTGAAATGTTTTTGAGGGGATTTTGGTGCGCGTTTTATTATTGCAGCTGCATTCAAAGGTGCTGAGAACCTAGCAGAAATAAAGATCACTGGATTCTGAACTTAAACTTTCAGATATCTTCCATTTACTACGCCACTGTATGTTTGTTTCAGGTTTGAAGTTTTTCTACAATTCATAAACAATTCTCATATCACAAAACTATAAAGGAACTGATAAAAACTTGTTAGCATGTAATCCATTTTAATTCCTATCCAGACAAAACAAGTCAATAAACCCGCTTTTGTTTCAACAAAAAATAAATTCCACTGAAAGGAATAAAAATCGAGACGAATGTTGTTGATGAACTCATGTTGTGTCAGTCATTTGATAATCACGTTATAAATCTGCCACTGTGAGAGAAAGAACGTGTCATTAAATGGAAGAGAAAATTTCTTTCTTTACTTCATCTTGACTTGATCATTAAATGTACACGGAGTATTCACGTTGCACATTGGTGCTACTAATTGAGATCGATTCTTTATAAAGAAGCAGGGAACTCATTATTGTGCATTTACTGACTTAATTGAAATGGAACTCGACTCATGTTTCACAAAAATATTTACTTTACTTGCAATACTTTTTATAGCTTGCAGAAATTCAATTTAAAGGGTGAAACTTATTAATGAAATTTCATGAGTTGTAAAAATTCCAAAGTGCAACTGATAATTTTTTTGAGTGCTATAGCTATAAGAAATCCTTCAACTTTTAAATGAGCAATAAAAGTTTACAGTAAATTGAAGCAGCTCTTTTTTCATTATCGTATAGAGAATATAAATGATTGGATATTAAATTGAATGAACAAACTGCTTACTTACTGTCATAGGGGAGTATATAACTTAATTATATTACATTTATTATACAATTAGAAAATAAGCTGCAAATCGCATTTGACAAACGATTCAGACCGAATCACTGATTTTAAAGTTGCTAATTTATGTCAATTTATTCAGTTAATTGTATGGAAAAATTGCATTGTTAGAAAATCATGTTAAATCATATGAAACTGTTTTTAAGAAGAGGGGGTCTAAATCCCAGGCATGTGCATTATGAAAACTTAAATGTCATTAAATGCAATGAAATTTCAAGGAAATTATACTTTACACCTTAAACAAAAACTGTCAGCAACTACCAAGCCTATTTACTCAATTGACTACAATTTCTCAAGGGAAATACAATACAAATCGTAATAAATCCTTAAAATTTCAACAGTTAAAAATCACCAGACTGGGAATTGAAATTTTACACATACACCCCATTAAATTGCTAATTTTATGCAAAACACTCAATTATTCAAATGAGCTTATACTGTAAAATGCATTTCTAATGATTAACTAAAGTCTCAGAAATTCAAGTTATTTTTTTTCTCCATTTCCTTTAAATTGCGGCAGATATAAACATTTTCAATTGTTAGAGGCAAAATAATGCACAGTACACATAATATTGCTTTGTTTACTTATTCATGTAACGTAAGACATGAATGCAAAAACAGATATAAATTGAAAATAATACTAAAATGCAGCGATAAGCACGTCCATAAATAACTTTAAATGATGCATGAAAATCAAATGACTTAAGTTATGATTTCTTTATTTTTCTCATGTCTATTTTTATACTTGCAGATAAGAAATGGCGCAAATCATAACAGCTCGTCTAGCAAGAATTGACTCTCAGCCTTGGGGCTTCCGTTTACAAGGTGGAAAGGACTTTGGAACACCGCTTGTAATCCAAAAGGTAAGCGACTATCACAAATGACGACCCTTAGCGTTAAATTGTGTTGCAATCTTGTGGCTATATATTTTTGATTGGTCAGACTGCTAATGTTTATCGATGTCTGATGTTTTGATCCTTAGTTTAGTCTCGAGATATAACATGAATTTCTTGACTAGATTAGGACATCAAAAATATTTCCCTCGAACTTAGTTTCTTGAAATTTGCTCAAATCTATTGATTAATTGGCAGAATTGAGAGTAAAACTTAGTAAACATACTTTGTCTACATTCAAAACCTTAAACGAACTCATCTGATCAATTAAAGAAATCCAGTCCATAAAATTCCACATAAATTTCACTAAAGGGGAACGTCAATAAATTAGATAAGTTTATTACAATACTTTTATCAGACTTCAGCCCGCCTGTTGTGCCTGCATACATTATACTGACCATTTTCAGTCATTTAAAGCAAAAAAAAAGAGACTTGCACATAAAGGAAACTCGACTGGTATTGATATGTGAGATATTATGACTTTTTGAGATGAAAAATGAAAGCATTTAAGTACGAAAAAAAATTTATGTTTTATCGTTGACGCTCTTTCATACTCGACATCCATAGTCAGTAGCAAATCTTTATCTTTAGTGTTGATTCGTGGGTGAAGAAAGAAAGAAACCTTTTCTTTTATATCCATTAAAAAATTTATGTGTCTGCATTTTTTTAACAACAAACAGCACAGTTTGAATTTGTTATTTTTTCTGCTTACTTCTTTTGATCATAAAAATTATAAACGTACATTGAGTGTGGATTGGATGGTAGATATTTGTGTGATAAATTAGTTCAATTTAAAGATAATAATGGAAGCGAAAATTGTTGTTTAAGTTGCTGATGAAAATTCAATGAACTTAACATTGTGTTTATGAGCACAACAGAAATAAGTCAAGTGACAAAATTTATGAGACAATAAATTTAATGACAAAGTTTCAAAGCTTTACGAATTTGTATAAGAGATTATTGTTTGTTTTGGTTTCCGAATGCCATGGCTGGTTTGAGTTTGGGGATCGGAAATACCAAGATTCTGTACAAAATTCTCAAATCATTTCTTAATTTACCTAATGCTAGGTATTAACATATAATTCTATTAAGTAGACCAGATATTAATTTACAAATTAGACATTCAAAAGTTCCTTATAGGTTCACAGGGAATACAATTGTTAATGCTAATAATAACAAAGGAGACCATTATAGAATAATCTCAAGGCGTGGAAACTCAGGATTAATCCTGAAAAATTCCAAAAACCCTATTTAATCCCGAAATTATCCATCAAATGCATCAGGGATTTTTTTAAAGGATTTTTAGGATTTTTCAGGATAATTCCTGAGTTTCCACGCCTTGAATAATCTGTAGCATTATTCGTGAAGTTACTGTCAACCACTAATTATTTTATATAGCACATTTTGTTGCCACTTGCATATATAATGCATAAGCATAAAATGAAGTGTGAAACACCAAAAAAGTGATTCATGCTTGGATTACGTTAGTCCATATTTATGCGGTCGAAGAACTTTTTTTTCCTTTGGCATCACATTTTATGTTGTCATTAAAAATCAGTGAGATTTCTTTATGATTATCGTTGACCTGAGTCTGGATATATGTATGCATAAACTCACATGAATGATAGATGAGGATGAAAACTTTCAGCTGAATTGAAATGAAAAAAAAATTTTGTGTGAATATGATTTTCTTTGCATTCGCATTTGTGAAAGTTTCTTTTATCAATAAATTACGCCTTTAGTAGAATGAACATTTTTATTTTCAATTTTGAACTGCAATAATTTTATTTTTTTTTCGGGGTACATAATGTAATAAATTTGGTGCAACTTTTATTTCTTCTTCATGACAGCTGAAGTTTCAATGAATATTAAAATTTATTCGACTGAAGAAAATATATGCAAAAATGGCAGTGAACGGATGAGATAGAAAGCATGTTAAAGTGCATGGCAGTTCGCTTTGGCGATGCATAAATTGGGGTCAAAATGAATTTTTGACGGTTAAAATGATAATAATTAAATTTTTAAGGATTTCTCGAAGACTGTAGTAAATTTTTGGTTTTATTAATTTTCATGTGCAACTGGGAATCGAGGAAGGTTAATAGAGGATCATTTATGATCATTCAAGTTTTATTTTTTCAATTTTTTATGTGAATTTTTGAAGTTCATTTAACATGCACATGAAAAATTAATTGAGCGAGTTCGGCCCGGATGTGCAAAAAAATGGATGGTTTATGATCTGGAATCACTTTATTCTGTTATGTTTATTATCAATACCATGGTTAAAAAATGATGTCCATAAAATAATGCAACCAGACTACGTGAAGGATCCCAAAACTTCTCAAATCTGACATAATTGTAAATTAATAACTTTTGTTCAATAATAAGTTTATACTCAGCATATCATCTCAAGCATCTCTAACATAATCACAATATTGACCACTTACATAAATAGAATTAAACCACTTATGAGTAGGGTGACCATCTGCGTAGTTTTACAACGGACAGTCCTGTATTTCAAAACCCTGTCCTGTATAAATTTGAAAATTTTGTTCTAGGTCCTGTATTTTTTTCACGAAAATTTCCGTTAATTTTCAAATTTTCCTTTGTGTCCTGTATTTTTTAGGAAATTTATCAAATGTCCTGTATTTTCATAAAAACTAGATGGTCACCCTACTTATGAGATGTAAATGCGGTTGTTTTGTGTACACACAACATTGAACTCACTTACTTCTTTGTGGTCAATAAATCCATGTCATTCATGCGTGTATGTGAGAGAGTTGATCAAACAAATTAAAGCCACTCAAGTTTTAAGATTTATGGTTAGCAAGCCGCATATCATCATTAACATTCTGGTTAACAAATTCAGGGTCAATTTTATTGAATGCGAGTTTTATATAATTGCGAATCTTAATAGTCTATTTTTGTATGAACAGCAATTAAATAATAAATTTCTTACTTTGATATTTTTTTCTGGCAACAAAATAAATTTTCATCTTTGAATATGAATTTCTTCTTTCTCTGTTTTTCGTTTTGATATTTTGCCAAGAAACGATTTCGTAATGAAATGAAGTAATGAAAGAAAGTTGCAGAAAATTAAAGTGAAAAAATGAGCAAAAGAATCGTTCGCTAATGATGTCTAGCAATTCAGTTTAGAAGGTTCATAAGCATTGTAAACTTCCAGTTCTGTTAACCTTTTGTTGCTTTTTTTGTACAAGTTGATTTTGGAAATGGTAGGTTTTAAACCTTCCCATCCAGCTTGGTTATGAGGCTGCCACCCTTCAGGCAAGGTTGTTTTGGATAGGCTTTTAATCTATCCTTTAAAGTATATATCCTGGCACAGGGCTCGGTTGCCAGCGATGTATTTAGCGGTATCATGGGATACCACGACATTTGGTCAGCTTCGGAGTCAGACTTCGGTGTACCCAATCCCACTTTTAATCTTGCTGTTCATAAAAGCTTTGTGGTTTTAAAGTCCCTTTCATGCTTGACGTCATATGTCGATGACCCCAAAAAGAATGTTTCTGTTTGTGAGATAACATTTATAGTTTTATTGTAGCGACGATGAAAGAATTTTCTCTTTCTTGTCTAAATATTTGTGTAACAATGAAGGAAAAATTCATCCTCTATTTTTCAAGCAGAGTTGATTATCTCGTGCTCCACAATCTGTTATATCATTCTCTAGCTTACATTCAGTCATATTACATTTGCCAACACCGAACATTGAAGTTCTCTTTATTTTCTGCCTCATTTTTTTCTGTCTGGACTGCAAATATACAAAGTTGCTGTTATAATGATCATAATGATGTATAAACAAAGTTTCAAGTTCTTAAGAACTTTTTAAATGCACTGACGATGAGAAAGTTTTAATAACGTGTTTTAAAATAGATTCTACTGCACTGCTAATGGTTCCGTTATGATAAAATGAGTTGAATATTTAAAGTTTGTGACTCATTTTATTGGAATGAAGTTGGGATTAAAAATTCAATTATTTTTATATGCAGCTTAAAGAGTTTTGAGATGAAGATAGTTTTTTAAGCTGTTGTGTCATCAACATTGAAATTTCCTGCACATTGTAGATGATATTAAGGGTCATTTGAGAGTTGCCTTGACTGTTATAGTACATTCATTGATATGATCAATAATAATGTGTGAAGGGCCCATCCTTTTAGCTGGAGGCACTGTGATTCAATTTGTAAAGAATCTATTGTACCACATTCTTTAGACCTATAGTTTATAGTAGGATCCGAAGCACTTATAAGCTCTGCACATTGCAAAGACACGAGTACGTCATAAAACCTGATGAACCCTGCAATGTAACTAGTCACAATTCGTGTGCGTTTGATATGATTGCTCTTTTTGAGAAATTGTGAGCATTGAAAGTATTAAAACTATAAACTGCTTTGAAGACTGAGATTAATAAAGCCTATAAAACTGCTTTGTACACAGCTAAAAACATTGTTGCATCTCTTGCGATTTACTTTCCCTTTTTAAAAAAAATTATTTTTATCTCAAAAATTTAATCTACTCTAATTTATTTTCAAAGCAGTAGGATAGCTTTAAGAATTATTAATTAATGAGCATATTTTATGCCCCATTTAAAGCTAAACTCATCTATTAGAGCCATTAATTTTCTTATCTAATAAAGGAATTCTCTCCCCGTCCACTGTCATTCCTCGAGTAAACCTCAACGGTGGTGATTTGAGACAAAAAAGATGTATGTCATAAAAAAAGGTTGGAAGACCAGACGACGGCAATAACAACAACAATTTTAACACTGATGATTTCATATTAACACTTTGTTATGTTCTTTTAGTCTTTGCTGAAGTGAAGAAACCACAACAAAGGAACATAGCAATAAAGAATCTCTTTAATCCCCACATCACTCTATATTTTTTACCTTTTTTCTTGTCTTTTATTTACTTCATCTTCTTCTAAATGCAGTGTAATATGATGATGATTATGATGACTCATATGTTATGGAATGTGAAGAATGATCAAATGCTGAAAAAATGCACTTAATACCGTCTTATTTCATTCCATAATTCGTTCATTCTAAGATATATCATAATATTGTATTCTTTTTCGGGTTATTGATACTGCATGCCCTTATATGACTATGACACATGTTAAAATATTTTCTCATTTTGGTGAGACGACAAGAGGAAGAAAGAAAAAAAAGGTTACAATAAAAAACTTTATGGTTTTTGTTGCCTGCAAAAAAAAAACACTCGCTACAAAAAAGGGAAACAGATAGAATGGAGGTAACAAAGCAATAATTACGGTTTGTTTACAAATAATTTATTGTTTAAATTATTGTCATAGACTTTCTTTCCTTTTTTGTGCAGATTTTAAAGGGAAACAGAGCTGATTTTGCGGTACTTTTTTCTGATCGTCCATGAATATTTGAATTTGCAATAAAAATGTCGTAAAATCAGAGGATTTAAGAGCATCAATAGATTTTTTACAACAA